CTCTCTCATAACTGATGGTGGTCATGGTCATCTCCTGTTTTTCCTTGGTTTTATTGATTTTTCTCTATTGTTTTTCTCTTTTCTATTGCATTATTTTCTGTTCTGTTATTAACTCCATCTTTTATTATTGTTTTCTTGTTTCTTAACATAGAAGCTTAGATTATTGTTTTGAAATCTTTTATTATGAGCCTTAAATGCTACAAACTTTCCTCTAAGTACTGTTTTTGCTGCATCCCATAAATTTTGATATGTTCAGTTTTATGTTCATTCAGTTCAAAATATTTTCTAATATCTCCCACAGATTATTCTTTGATCCCTGGGTTATTTATTTAGAAATACAGTCATACCAAAATCTGTGGATGTTCAAGGCCCTAATATAAAATGGCATAGTAGTTGCATATAACCTATTCATATCCTCCTGTATATTTTAAATCATCTCTGGATTATTATAATGTCAAATACAGTGTAACTGGTATGGATAGTCTTCACAACAAACACTCTTTTTTTCTTGAACGTATTTTTGACCTGAGGTTGGTTGAACCCTTGCATGCAGAGGGCCAACTGCATGTTTCATTCCCAAATATTTGGGTGTGTCCCAAATTTGTTTTTAGTCTTTTGACCTCTAATTTTATTTTGTTACTCTCATAGAACATGCTTGGTATGATTTTAATTCTTTTGCATGTATTGGTATTTGTTTTATGGCTTCAACGTGTGGTCTGTCGTGAGGAATGTTTCACGTGTGCTTCAGAAGAGCGAGCGTCACGGCGAGTGGACGGAACGTTTCATTCGCCACTCAGGCTGAGCTGGTGGATGGTGTGTTCAGGTTTCTACATCCTTGCCAGTTTTCCTTCTAGTTCTCTCAATTATTGAGCACAAGGTATTGAAATCTAACGTTCTTACTATTGGACTGTTTCTCCTTTCAGTTTTGCCCTTTTTGCTGCCTGCGTTTTGAGGCTGCCTTGTTAGCATACGTGCAGTTTGTCAGTGTTACACCTTCCCGTGGTAGCCCTTTACCATGTTCCTAGGGAATGTCCCCTGTTGTCTCTGGTACGATTTCTCGTGTTAAATATTAATACAGCCACTCTCTTACAGTAGCCTTTGTGCGGTATATCTCTTCCCATCCATCTTTTTACTTTCAGTATTTGTGTGTCTAAGTTATGTCTCTTATGGGCAAGATGGTTGAATTTGACTTTTTTTATCAAGTCTGATAATCTTTGCTTTTGATTAGGGTTTTTAGACCATTTGTATTTAATGCAATTATTGGCATGGTTAGGTTTACATTTTCTTATTTGTTTGGGGTATCTTTTTTTTTTTTTTTTTTTTTTTGGAGATAGAGTCTCACTATGGACTTTAGCAATTCTCTTGCCTCAGCCTCCCAAGTAACTGCAACTACAGGTGCCCGCCACAATGCCTGGCTGTTTTTCTGTTGCAGTTGTCATTGTTTCTTAGCTGGCCCAGGCTGGGTTCAAATATGCCAGCCTTGGTGTATGTGGCTGGTGCCGTAACCACTGTGCCACTGGGCACCAAGCTGGGGAGTATCTTGATTATTCCTCTGTACCTCCTCTGCTGGCTTTTCTTTGTGTTAAATAAAGGTTTTCCAATGTACCATTTTAATTCCTCTCATTTTTTTAAACTAAATTTTAAAGTTTTTTTTTTAGTGGTTACCCTAGAGCAGGGGTCCTCAAACTTTTTAAACAGGGGGCCAGTTCACTGTCCCTCAGACTGTTGGCGGGCCGGACCGCAGGCCGCAGGACCAGCTGGCTACGAAGCAGGACAGGCAGTGGCAGCAAAAACACCCGGCAGGCCGGATAAATGTCCCAGGCAGGCCGCATGTGGCCCGCAGGCTATAGTTTGAGAGTGCCTGCCCTAGAGGATACCATATGCATCTTTTTTAAACATCACAGTGTACTTTAAGATTTACTCAAATCCAGTAAATACAGAAACTTTTCTCCTGTGTACCTCTGTCCCCTTCCCTTGTGTTACACTGTGATTACACAGTAACACATATAAGTCCAGCTGTATAGCTTGATAATTATTGCTTTCTATACTGTTCATGTGTTTTATAGAAGCTGAGGGGACACATTAAAAAAAGTACATCTGCAGAGTCTTTGTACTCACCTGCGTGTTTCTAGTGCTCTTTGTTCTCTCTGCAGATTCAGGTCATCTTTAGTAATTTCCTTTCAGCCTGATGGGCTTTCTTTAATATTTCGTAGAATGCAGGTCTGTTGTCAGTGAGTTTTCTATTTGTGTCTTGGTGTGTCTTTATTCTGTCTTTACATCTGGAGGATAGGTGTCCTGGGCTGGCTTCACCGTGTCCCCCAGCGCATCAGCTGTCCCTTCTCTTGGTCTCACACACACACACCACCGTACGCGATGAGGCGTTTCTCACTTGCTGCTTTTGAGATTTCCTTCTTTTTTTTTTTTAATTTTTCAGCGGTTTAATTCTGCTTTATGTAGACCTGTTTGTATTTATCCTACTGATACATACTTCATTGAGATTCATTGAGCTTCTTGGAGGTGTAGATTTAAATTTTTTATCACGTTTGAAAAATGTTCTGCCATTATTTCTTCCAAAAGTTTTTCTGCTTCTTTCTCTCTCCTCCCTCCGGGACCCCCTTCATTATAAGCAGTTGGTGCACTTAATGTTTTTAGAGGCTTGTTCATTTTATGTTAGTTTCTTTCACTCTAATCTTCGTGTTAACTTTTATTTACCTTGAGATTCATTGGGGTTTTTTCTGCTGTGTTGAATCTTCTTTGAACCTCTGTAGTGAATTTTTAGTATTAGTTGCTGCACTTTCAACTCCAGAATTTCCATTAATTTCGGCCTCCTCCTTGAGAATCTCTATTATGTTGATTTCCTGTCTTATTTTTCTTCAGTTTTTTCAGATGACTTCCTTTAGTTCTTTGAACATATAGAACCTACTTTTTCTGCCACTTTGGGTTTTTTCCCTGCTAATTCAGCATCCGAGGACACTTAGAGACAGTTTCTGTTGCCTGCTTCCCCCCAGTATGGGTCATACCCTGTGTTTATTTACATATCTCTTAATTTTTCATTGAAATTTGGACATTTTAGGGAATATATTTTAGCCATTCTGAATTCTGAGTTTATTTCCTAGAAAGTTTTTTCTGCTTTATGTCTATTAAGTAACTTCCCTGGGCGAAATCTCACAGTCTGTCTCCCCTGCAGCTCAGTTCTTTTTATGTTTTGTTTTTTTAAGTTTGGCTTCCTAAGGTTTGCTCCTGTGTGTGGTGGATTGGTAGTGAGCCTAAGCTTGATTGAACAAAGGTTGTGCTCACCTACCTCAAGCCAGTAAGGCTCTGCCCTCTGTCCACCTAGCTGTGGGTAGGCAGTGGGAGTACAGTCAAGGCTCGGGTCATTTTCCAGTAATTCTGTCTTTACTTCCTACTGCCCACTTTCGTCTCCTTTACGTGTGTGTGCAGCCTTAGAGCTGGCTGGGAGTCGTGGCCAGCTTGGACCCTATCTAGTCTCCACAGTTTATACACAGCTTCAGCCTAGAACGTGCGTGGCTCAGCCAAGCAACTGGGCTGGTAGGGCCATCGGGCCTCCTTGTACACCTTCCTCTGCGATTGTCACGGCCATCAACACCACCACTGAACATGGGCGTCTCCCCACACCTCGGATCAAGTGAGCCTCCTTCCACCCGGCAGGGAAGCTGCTGCAGCCAGTCTTCACAGCCAGCTCCCCCGGCAGTGCCTCCATGTCGACCATGTAGGGGCAGGGGGTGCACAACAGGGGACATAGGGCAGCCCCAGGTGCCATGCGCTGTCACTGTCTTTCCTGACGTTCGGGACACAAACCCTTCTCGGTTGGCGGTTTGCCCTGACTTGGCTTTTGTCAGTGCCGTGCAGCTCTCTACTTTCTTTGGGGCAGCAGGGTGAGCTGAGCTGATCTCACTTGGCCAGAGCTGGAGTTTCCACCTCAAGAAGCCTTTCAGCAAGCAGTAATTTTTGTTTACTTGGCTTATAAAAATTCTCAATGTTCATTCAGTGTTTGGTATGTCGTGCTTGTCAAGCTAATTGTCTACATTTTAAAACAGAAATAATCACTTATTAAGTGATTTCTTATGAATTCTGGAATAGCACTCATGATTGGAATAACTTTCCTCATTTCATTACAGTTATGGAAAAATTTCTTGGCTATTTTCAGTTTAAGTAATTTAAAAAACAAAATGGAGAAAAAGCTATGGCCCTCAGTTACTTTTCCTAAGCATTAAATTTGAACTTGTACATTTATAGCTTATATCACATTTGGATACATTATTATAAATACAGAAATGTCATGCAATTTGTGAGGATAACATTAAATTCACTGAGCGCTTCTTTCTTGCCTCTAGAGATTCATGTGGCCACACAAAATTGGGCTAATGTTTTTCTGATATTGAGATCGGATTTACTATTAAATTTTTTAGCACTTTAGGGCTCCTTAAGAAAATAACAGTTTCAGGCTGTGATTGGTCCTGTCACAATTAAAAGATTTGTTAGTGTGTTAAATTGAAATTTTATTCTTAAAAATTAAGTCTATTGAATCTTCCTTGTGGGTGTTTGAGTATTCACTGTGTTTCTTGTTTTTAGGTTAGTGAAAAATTACTGTTGTTTGCCTCTTTGGGGGGAGGAGGGGACAGAACCTCAAGCTTTAGCCATGGGTAGAGTGCTGTGGCATCACAGCTCACAGCAACCTCAAACTCTTGGGCTTAAGCGACTCCCTTGCCTCAGCCTCCCAAGTAGCTGGGACTACAGGTGCCCACCACAAAGCCTGGCCATTTTTTGGTTGTAGTTGTCATTGTTGTTTGGCAGGCCGGCCTGGATTCGAACCTGCCAGCTCTGGTGTATATGGCTGGCACCCTAGCCGCTTGAGCTACAGGCGCTGAGTCCCATTGTTTGCCTCTTACTAAATAGCTTTCTGCCAAGTAGCCAGCAGCCATATAAATGTTTTTTCAGTTCTGTACTGTAATAGTAATTCACTATGTGTGTCTCTGCAGGCCGCTTTGAAGAGGAATTTATCAAAATGCGCATGGAGAGGCTCCAGGCCTGGATGACCAGAATGTGCCGGCACCCCGTCGTCTCAGAAAGTGAGCTTTTCCAGCAGTTCCTGAGTTTCCGAGATGAGAAGGTAGGGCACTTTGTTGTGTGGTCTTAGAGGATGTCAAGAGTTGTCACGTTCATACCAAATTTATGTCTGAAAGGCGTCAAATCTGTGCTGGTTAGTTCTCACTTTCTCTGATGACAGTCTGGGGACAGAAACCTAAATCCCAGCCATGGGAACTCTGTCGTGGCCCGTGAGGGGCTGGTGCCAGAAGGGGAGGGCAGCGTGGGGGATGGGATAGGGTAAGCAGTTTTGTCCCAGATGCTTGAAAATAGAATGAGACCCCAAACTAGGAAGGGCCATGCCAGCATGAAGGGAGGGATTAGAGCAAATCTCATCTCTGATCACCGTTGCCTTCACCAGGCAGTAGCGTTATGAAAAGAAGGGTGGAGCCATTCTGCTTGGAGCTAGGTAGCTTTTCCAGACCAGTAGTTGTGAGTCCAGAGTAAATGCTCTCTGCTCGCCCCATAAGCAGTTATGGCGACATTCTGCCACTGATCATCTGGTCTTTATTTAAATCAAGAAGCAGTTGTCGGCTCGGCGCCTGTGGCTCAAGCGGCTAAGGCGCCAGCCACATACACCTAAGGTGTCAGGTTCGAATCCCCAGCCTGGGCCTGCCAAACAACAATGATGGCTGCAACCAAAAAATGGCTGGGCGTTGTGAGGGGCGCCTGTAGTCCCAGCTACTTGGGAGGCTGGGCAAGAGAGTCGCTGAAGCCCAAGAGTTTGAGGTTGCTGTGAGCTATGATGCCGCAGCACTCTACCAAGGGTGACGTAGTGAGACTCTGTCTCAAAAAAAATATATATATATGTATATCTATAGTTTTTCACTCTCAATAAGCATTTACTGTATTCCTGATCGTATCATTGTGTTCTCTAAAGTCCAAAGACCTTTTTCTCCATAATTTCTCTTCTCTCATGACAAATATTGCATATTTTAGAAAATACTGCAAAGAATAAAAGCATGAGGTAGCTTAGAAGCAATAGCAAATTCTAAATATATCATGATTCTGGAAAAAAATTAGGAAGTTCCTTTTGTCTTTTATCACATAATAGAATGTCATATATCCTGTTGGAACTTTGAGACAGATTTACTTGCTAAACTTTGTAGTACTTTCCCCTTATTGAGGTGAACACATTTACAGTAAGTCTGTACTCTGTCTGCTTACACGCGGATACATATACTTAACACAGTCGCAATATTTGGGCCTTAGTTTCAGTTACTGCCTGTTTCTGGAATTGGTAGGCTCTTGTATGTCATTGGTGGGGAGGGGAGTTAGAAAACATTGAAATGCTTCAGCATTTCTTTGTGAATTTCTTTATATTAATAACTTAGGTCTTGCCTTATGCGCTATTCTAGCAAACCGTAGTTTTTCTGGTGAAATGTGATAGTCACAGTATTTGTGGCATGAAGCTATATAGTAGTGAAGCTAAGCTCTTTGATCAAGTTGAGTTGAGGAAATGTTTTGTTACTTTGTAGTGACAAAAACCTACACGGAATCCTCCCACGTGTGTTGTCCTCTAGTTCCACAAGACTCTAACAAGAGCTTATTTGATTGATTTGCCAAGGGTTTGATAAAGAAAGCACTTCTAAAGATTGTGTGCTATGCATGGTTGGATTTAATAATAATAATAAATCCCAGATATTGGTAGTTTTGTTTGTAAAGCCTGCCACCTTCAAAGATTGATCAGCTCGCCATAAAAGTGCTATAAGAGAAAGAACAGTTGGAGTCAGAGCCCTGGAGCTCTCCCTTTAGCTCCTCTTCTAACTGCCTCTGTGAGCCCAAGTGAAGGTATTTAATCTCTTTGGGCCAGAATTTCTTTACCTGATAAATGGCAGTATAGAACTGGTTAAAACTATGAGTCTAGGCTCGGCGCCTATAGCTCAACTGGCTAAGGCACCAGCCACATACACCTAAGGTGGCGGGTTCGAATCCCCAGCCCGG